TGTGTGTGTGTGTGTGTGTGTGTGTGTTAGGACAAAGACGTCCCAGTCTCATCTCAGAGTGTCAGTACAGCTGAACAGTACTTTGATAATTCCAGTGTGGAGTGTGCCATACAGTCCTGTCCTGAGCTACTACAGAAAGGTACAGCATTGACACTGCACTCCTCCAACCATCATCCACAACATCCAACTTCTCTGTTCGGACTGGCAGAGTCCACAATAGCAACAATAACAGAGTTTAGCCGATGAGAAGAGGGTTTTTGTTTGATTTGTGTTTCTTCTGATTATGTGATAAACAGATTTCCAGTCCATGTTTCCTGAGGCTCCATCCTCTGGTATGATGGTGGTCACAGTAACCCAGAAGACCAAGAATGACATGACATCATGGTGTGCTGAGGTGGAGGAGGAGAGAGAGCAGATGCTTAGCAAGGTGAGCTGCTTTCTGGAGGTCTGCAGGTCTTTTATTTTTACTGGTGGAGACTATAGGCGGGCAGTATAGCGGTGTAATAGTCATCATGGATATGATAGAGCACCAGAACATGGATTGTGCAATGTTGTCATTACCGTAACAAATCAACAGCCTATTTATATTAAAAAGTAAAACATATTTGCTACATCAGCCACTGCCTTCACCCAATGTGCATACTAAAAAGGAAGAAGCCCAACTGATCAATTAAAGTGTCAAAAAATTAAAGAGTCTAAGAGATGAGTGGATCGTCAGGGACACAAGGCAGCTGAGGAAATTCTGTTGACTTGGTTTAAAAATCTCCACTCCACCCTCCACTGCAAAATTAGCCACTGCTGTGGAATGTCAGCAGTGAGACATATGCAGTCGAACACAGAGGGAGGCTCTATCGTTCAGGATGGAAGATTTTCTGTGGTTATTGTGTTAACAGAGTGAAGTGGTTTACAACCCCAGACAGCATACGAGCAATAATCTGAATTTTTAAGTGTCTGTGCTGTTCAGGCCCATACTAAAAGGTGCTCAGTGAATGAACTCTGGCTTTGCATTCCTGCTCATTACAAACATTGAAATCAGAATTTGTATTTTGCCCCAAATTCTTACGCTGGTGTGATTGATATGGAATATCTAATCATGTTCCCCTTATATCAGTGCATTAAATGATCAAAAATCATTTTGTGATTTATCTGCATTTATCACATATCGATGACAATTGTTCGTCTCCTGTGCAGTTTATGGATGGAGCCCAGGAGATCTGCTGTGCGCTGCAAAAAGAAGGATTCTGGGCGGACTTTATCGACCCTTCCTCAGGCCTGGCGGTAAGATTCTAACTGTCACTCAAGTGAAACACCCATATTCACAACTGTCTGGATAACTCAAGAGTGAATGTTAAAAACCATGTGTTGCCGTCGCTGCTTTCCTACATTTACTTGTTTTATCAGCATCTGACTTCAATGCAGTGTCTACGATCTCAAGTGTGCAACAAAGATTGTTTAAGAGGGTTGTAAAGGACTGCACATCATTCAATCAATCAAACTGTATTTGTATAGCCAATATTCACAAAACACAATTTGTCTCACAGGGCTTTAACAAGGTGTGACATCTTCTTTTCTTAACCCTCAACAAAAGTGAGGAAAAACTACCAAAAAACCCTTTTAACAGGGAAAAAGAAGGTAGAAACCTCAGAGAGAGCCACATGTGAGAAATAATGACTTATTTTAAACTTGATCAACCTACCCCCCTGTCTGTCCAGTGAAGCCAGTGTGTGCCGCCACAGCAATCTATCAGGAAATATCAGCCTAACATCAGCTGTTTGTGACCCTTTCACGAAACTTTCAATAGCTATTATTGGTAATAATACCTTTTTAGTACAGACTGAAATGTTTCTGAAGTAGAGTATAAAAAGCTGTCATGTTCTGAGCATTGACAACAAATCTCTGGTGAGGTAAACTGAGGTAAAACATCTACATAAAATTCTACAAAAACTCATTAAAATGTCATTCTGCTAGTTTCACATGGTTCAGATTTGATTGTGTTAGAATTCATGCTGAATTGCAACCAGTGCATTTGTGTAGTAATAGTTTCTCTCACCTCTAATTAGACACTTAAGCTTAATTCATTTTAGCTTATTTTCGTCCAGTAGCTTAGTTTAGCACAGACACATTGTTTGTGTTACGAAGTTTAAAGCTGCTGACGACCTGGATTCAGATGTTTAAAAGCACTGCAATTAGATAAATACATGATAAATGTGTGTGTTCTCCTCCAGTTCTTTGGCTCGTACACCAACAACACACTGTTTGAGACCGATGACAGGTACCGTCACCTGGGTTTCCAGATCGAGGACCTGGGCTGCTGCAGAATGATCAGACATGCTCTGTGGGGGACACATGTTTTTGTGGGAACAATATTCACCGATGCACCACCTAGCAGCTTGATTATGAAGAAGCTTCAGGGCAGCTGAACATAAGTTCATGGACTGTGGGCTGCTATTAAAACTGTTTAAAACCCTGTCTGGACTGTTTTAACACTATTTTAACACTTCTTTAAGAACATCATAAGCTGACAGTGTATTTTACTTATGTGGCACATTTGTATAAATATTACATCACATTGATTTATATTTATGGATTCAGATGTCACAGGCAAATGCTGCTGTAATCACATTAAAATATTTCTTGACTAAACTGCATGTGTTTCTGCAAGTGTTGCCTTTTAGGTTGAAATTTCTCTTAACCACACCTTTTCAGAATATATCTGATCGTGTGGTCTGAAGTGTTATCAGACTTTCTTCATTGAAGCATTGGGGCATATTGTCAACAAGACTGCAGCTCTGATGTAATAACATCCACAGGGGATTACTGAGCCTAGATTCTATCTACATCCGACAAACTTAAAATTGAGTGTTGTAAACCAGAAGACCCTAAAGCACAAGTGACAGCAGGTGGATGACCGGTTGTTATGTGCAGCTTGGTTTTCTAGAGTTTACACAGGCATGTCAACTAAACCCTCTGTTCCTAAAGAGGAGCTGTAGGAGTGTTCGTCAAGCAGTGAATTGGTAAAGGAAGTCTCAGATCTATGGATATGGATAAATAAACAAACAAATGCCTAAATAAATGTGGAAATAAATAAAT